AAAAGTGTCTTTAAAAACATACCTGAGCTGCAAGGTTAACTCTCATAATGAAAAAGATGTAAATTGATATGCTCATATCCAATCTTGTTTACAAGTGAATGTCCCTGGTTCGATCATCCATTATCAACTCTGAAAGATGCCTCCATAATATTGGATTACCATTCTGTGAAAACAAGGATTATAAAAAACATCTTATTAGGAATTAAGTAGACCGTCCAACTTTTAATTAAATATTAGGTGGTCTATGATTTAATCAAATTTATCAAATGGAAAGGTATATACTATATTAAATATGCACATACCCATAGACTTCTGGATTTCCGATGTGCCTCAGAATTGGCCCAGCAGTTCCTGGTAGTCTTTATTAAGTGGGGTACATCAGACACAAAATAAATGAATCTTTCATCATCACTCCACAAATTTCTAGTCTTGAACACCACCATATCCCGCGGAGCACCTTTTACTCTATGCATACGGTAGAACTTCCGGTTCCATGACGCTCCATCACTGGTGGACACCATTACTTTTAGGTTACATGTGACTTCCAATCAGGTGATCGTATCCCATATTATTGGATACAAATTGTCAGACTTGCAACCAACAGTGGGAAAGTAGCCCAGGCTCATTTGTAAACTAGATGCTAATCCTCTTACCATTAGCACCAAGACATGACTGGCAAGTCCTAGACCTTTATTCTTCTCTATGTGACAGCCATTCTCTAGCTTCATCAGCTCCTCATTTATATCACCCAAGTTGGTGAAGCCAATCAGTTCCCCAGTGTTCTTATCATAGACGAGATCTTGCTTAACCTTCATTTCATCATGAAGTAGTACTACATATTTATTTGACTCTGATGACCCAAGACACTCAATTTCTGAAATAAGTTCCTTCAACACTGGTTGACTAATTCCTGGTTTGGGCTTAATGTAATTTGAGTAGTCTGTTAAAGTTCTTTGACTAGGCAGTTTCACGAAACCGGAACTCCTGCACACTTTCTGCACATCATGATTGTTTTCCTCCATTATAGCTTTAAAGTCGCTCTGTAATGTCCCATCAATTGCAATCCCTTCAGATGAAACAAGTTGTTTCACAGTTCTGCTCAAGGACCGCTTTAAAGTCATCTTCTCTTTCTGTAGATTCGATGCTCTTTCCCTCAGTTCTGTGGGACTAAGGAATCTAAGGTTCACTTTACTGTCTGAACTGGTTTTCTCCCCTGACAAGGAAGTGGCCTTCACAATTTCCCCACCTTTACCTCGAACTAGATCAATATATGATTGATCAAAGTTTCCTGGGCACATCTTGCATTTCACAGCCTCACTAATAAGAGTTGTGACCATGTCAACATCAGTAACTGCAGAAGATATGCCTTCAAAGATGGAATGGTTTTTGGGGATGTATCGCCCATGAAGCTTCACTTGCCATGTTAAATCTTCCCCCACCATAACGCATCTGGAAACTGTTGACTCATCCCCGATAAACTCTATCTGGCTGAATCTGATTTCTGTTGGCGACTTTAGAACAGACCAATTAGATGGCAATGTCACAAGACCAACATGTTTCTGTAGATCTGATATGTTGGAAATGCAGGTACTAGTATGTTCCTGTAAATTAACAATATTTTGAATATTAGTTATGTGTTGAACCCACGCTTAGCAGGGATTCAGAAGGCAAATGCTGAATTAAAAATAAAAATTTGTCAAGATTTTTTACATGAAATGTCAGGTGAAAATACGATGAATGACAATATACAATTCCCATGTCCACAGTTCCTCAACAAACTGTGTCATGTCCCTGCACTAACTGGATTTAAGGACAAATGACTCAAATTGTTACTAGTGTTCACTTGGCAAGATCTCAGGGTTATAGCTCATTGAGCATAGCTATTCAACTGGTTGAATTATTAATGAACAAGCACTGGTTATATGTGGCATGTATTCGGCCATGTACAACATTATTAAAAATATGAAATATAAATACATGTAGTAACTTGAAATAAAAAAAATATTTACCTCTGCCTTTAACTGTTTAGATAGCTTCCTTTTCTCATGCACCTTTGCATAGTATCCTTTCGGGCGTTTCCATTTATTTAATTTGTATGGCATACTGGCAAACTTTTGTATGGCTTCACCACTGATACCAGATTTGTAATCACTGCTATAACAATTACAAACACGATCTAAGTTTGATCTGAAAAAAACAAATCGAGAATTAACACAACAATAATAAAAACAGCATTGGGCACTTTTTTGAACTTCAACCTTAATATTAATTCTAATAAAATAGTAGTTGAAGTCGGAAAAGTGTGTTTGGGAGGTTTGCTAAATTCAGATACTCGCACCATAACATCGACTATGGTCGTTCGAAACGCCATCTTGAAATAACATCAACAAATGTTGTATGGTATAATTTCACTGTGATTTTCTGACGAGAATATCGGAATACGACAACACCAAAATGATTCAGTTATTCCTAACATATATATCGATGGTCATCAAAACTCTTAGGCATCAATATTTAAAAAAAAAAACTTTGAACAGTCGTTTTCTTCGAGCGGTACTCGACCAACATCTTGCTTCGTGGTGAATACAAGTATCTACGGGGCAAAACTAACGGTAAAATAGCCGACTGAAATGAACCCCTTAATGCTGCGTCTACACAAAATAATCTATATTGGGGAACAATTTAAATATCAAACTACATAAATATGATGAATTTGGTCGTTTTACCTGTAGGAACGCATTTTCACAAGGTTGAAACTTTTTGTACAGTGTCGCCATAACACGCCACCCTGCAATGACCGGTGGTGACTGTGACAGTCTGAAATTGAAATCTCAATTTTTTAAATTAATTCAATGAATATACCTTTTAAATTACACGTACCTTATCAGAAAGTCTTTACAAGTACTATTACACGCGTATCTAAGAATAATTTCGGAATAAACTGTATAAAACGGCATAAGTTTCACTGGAGCAGACGGAAGACAATTCAAATTCAGGAAGACGCCGTGATGCTATGACGTCATCGGCTTCACTCCACAAGCATAACGCGCACTGTTACCAGCGATCGGGGGATTAACACCTTAGAACAAAGGCGTTTCCCAACCGGGTGTTGAGGGACTGTGGCCTTGGCTACCGTGTCTTCGCTAGATTCACTCAGATGATCCACTTGACGTGTGTTTATACCCACTAAAAGACAACTAAAGAAAGGTAAGACTCTGCCTCCACTTTTCACTGAAGATTTTTCTCACGGCGAAGCAAATTCCAAATAGTATGCAGCACTACGGACACCGCGAATTATTCTCCACGGTGACCACCGAACTCGGCCAGATTTCTACTCGGCCAATGACCGATCACGGCCAGTGACCGTACTCGGCCAGCATATGTGCATAAGGGTGTCAATGATGCAACAGCGAGCGCTGTATTACAGACTGTCAGTCATATCACAACAAAATATAAAAAATGTATGGGCGTCAAAGGGTGTCGATTTCAGTGATGCCTATCGTGCTTTGTTAATAAAAAAAGGGATGTCGATTTCAGTGACGAAACAGCCAGCGCTGTGTCTTTTGTCATATCACAGTAAAATGTAAAAAAAAATAGACGGTCGCCGCCGATGTGATGTCTGTGATTCAATGTAATGTCTGTGTTTTTCCTTTGAAAAGAAAATTTGCGTCACTGAAATCGACAATGTTCAGCCAATGTTGAAATCAACAACATGTCGGAGAACCAGTAGCGTTTGTGTGTGTGTGTTTGTAAACTTGCGTTGTTGAAATCGACAACAAAATAGTCACGGGAATTGGCGACTGGCCGAGTTGTGCATTTTTTTCCTGGCCGAGTTGAAATCTGGCCGAGTTCGGTTGTATTCGTGGTGAATACAAGTATCTACGGGGCAAAACTAATGGTAAAATAGCCGACTGAAATGAACCCCTTAATGCTGCGTCTACACAAAATAATCTATATTGGGGAACAATTTAAATATCAAACTACATAAATATGATGAATTTGGTCGTTTTACCGATAGGAACGCATTTTCACAGGGTTGAAACTTTTTGTACAGTGTCGCCATAACACGCCACTCTGCAATGACCGGTGGTGACTGTGACGGTCTGAAATTGAAATCTCGATTTTTTAAATTAATTCAATGAATATACCTTTTAAATTACACGTACCTTATCAGAAAGTCTTTACGAGTACTATTACACGCGTATCTAGGAATATTTTCGGAATAAACTGTATAAAACAGCACAAGTTTCACTGGAGCAGAACGGAAGACAATTCAAATTCAGAAAGACGCCGTGATGCTATGACGTCATCGGCTTCACTCCACAAGCATAACGCGCACTGTTACCAGCGGTCGGGGGATTAACACCTTAGAACAATAGCGTTTCCCAACCGGGTGTTGAGGGACTGTGATTCACCTATCAAATCAGTTTGAGGTGATTTCGCATCAAGTTGCATCAACACATTCCGGCGTCACAATTTACGTATTTCTTTCAAAAAAGGCATTACTGTTATATAGTGAACTCGTGCTCGTCTCTACAGATATATTCATGTACATACCGAGAGAACAATACATTGCAAACAAGTATCAGTATTCTTTATTACGCAGGCACACAAGTTAGTCTGGGCATGGTCCATGGTCTGGGTGTATGTTTGGCACAGTAGGTACGCAGATAAGTTGTACGTGGTGTGTTCCCGACTCAGTTTGAACAGGTGTTGGTACACAAGTTACGTGTAGTCGGCGTACCAGACACACTTGCGGACAGATATGTTATATTAAATAGATTACAGACAGACAGACAGACAGACAGACACAATGGAGCTTAAAATGCTTAGAAAACTAGGTATTATCTAACTGCCCATCTTGTTCGCATTTTGGGATTTTTTCTTAAAGAAAAACTTGATTATTATTTCTTTTTCTCAAATTTGCCGTAATTACGCCAGGAACCCAAACATGTACTTATTGACTCAGGCATATGAACCTAAGTGTGAGGTAATATTGACACTGACTTATGTAAGTGAAGTAGTAGATTTAGTGATAATACTGCATATACTGTGAGCACAATCCTAAAAGCAGTGAACGCAGTAAGATATCATTTGTTTTGCATAGTTGCCCGCACAGGTGCTCTCATTACTATGTTAAAGACTGTTACATAACCACTGACTAGAAAAATAAGTAAGTTGGAGCAAATAGTGAATATACAACACGATTTTATTTAACAAACTTCCCCGACTTGGTAAGTTTTTGGTAAGTTGGTGAAGGGGATAGTTCGCAACTGATACTTAGATCAGTTTTTCTGTTGCAATTAGTCGCAGGCTTATCGACTGGACTCAAATCTGCATCCGGGCATTTGATTAATATTATACAAGGTTACATAACACATAACCGCGCATGCGTCGTTCCCTTACACGAATTATCTGGTGAGTGAAAGACGTGTTTTTTCGTGATTCCACGGCTTGAATGACAAACTATTTTCATTTGAACAATCATTGTCGTAATTTAGTTTTTTGAAAACATAAGCTGCATTCATAGTTTTACTCTAGTCTGTTTTTTCGGCGGAAACGCTGTTTAGTCAGTCCGTCTTTGAGTGATTGAGAAACGATCACTCACAGATCAGTCAACGATCACGATCACCTTACATTAGACGCAATAACCCTACTCGTAATAAATATTAACTACATTAAAACACACAAACACAAAAAGAACTGAACGTTTCTTTTTAGCTCTGATGATTAAAATTTTTGTTGACGTCGAGAAAATTTGAAATTCCAACTGCCACCCAGGTGAAACATTTGCACCCTGACGGCATCTATCAACCAATGGCAGTTTTAAAAACAAATGTCACACTGTTGAATAACTGCCAGGAACTATTTCAATTGTCATCGCCTGTTCGTTCTGGCTCCACCAACATGGAAATTGACTCAGACTGACAGTAATTTTG